TGCTGGGACAGGAGTGTCAGAAACAAAAATAGACAAGACTAGGGTTTTTTGAAAAAAAGTGGCCTTTTTTTCAAAAAAAACCTTCCCCTGCATCTAGACTGTGGCTGCATTTTCAAAAGTAAATCAAAAGAACGTGGCAGTTTTTTCGACTGCGGAAAACCTCATCTTATGAGAAATAATACCTTTCTCGAAAGTGCTTTCGAAAAAAGGCGCTATGTAATGCAAACTGTGCTTTTTCGAAAGTACTGGTTGTAGTCTAGACGCTTTTTTGAAAGAGGCTTTTTCAGTAGTTTTTTTTTTCCCCCTGAAAAGCCTCTAGATGTAGCCTAAGAGAACAAAAAGCTAAACAGTGGCCTTCAGACACATTCTGTTCTCTTTTATTATTAAATAAAGTGGCATTTGATGACCTGAAAGGTCCAGACTCAGAAGATGAATTTCTTTCTCATGGAGGAAAAATTGTCAAAAAAAGGGAATGGCATGTTCTAATTAAATGCAATAATTAGTTGATCAGAGGATCATAAAGGAGAATACAAGTAGTACAAATATCCCATGACAAAACAGAAGACATGGAAATTGAATGAACACGAACGGTGAAGGTCCCTGTCAAATCAGTTCAGCAAAGGAAGTGCATAGTTACAGTCTGCTGGGTGAGAAGAGAAAGATTCTTCATGCGGATGTACATTTTATGATACACTTGCTGAGTAGGCCAAGGATCCATGGAGCTGAATTTCTGGCTGTTGAGATTAGAAAAAGAAAAAAGCCCTAACCGAACACACTTGACTAATTCCCATGAAGCCATTGCAGAAATGGAAACAACTCCAAGGTTCAAAATTCAACCCTAAAAGTAAATGCTGAAAGTTTGAAGGCAGGTACCTTTACTCGCAACAGGAGACATGACTAAGACACAAATTAGGTGAATTTTATTTGCACGGGATATTCCATAATCCCTAACATCCACTTCTCTTAAATCTGCACTTGATAACAGCATGCTGAGTTCTTTATTAGTGCTTGTCGTCGTGATTGTCAACAAAGACTAGTATGGACTTGTTTCTTTAGGCTTGAATAATAATTGCTTAGCCTAGAGGAGTGAAAGGATCAAATTGGTGCTTTTTTGGAGGGGAACTTGCATATCCTATCTAGGTAGAAAGATGTGTCAGCAACTATACACTTGGGCTACGTCTACACTGGCCCCTTTTCCGGAAGGGGCATGTAAATTTCACCTATCGTAGTAGGGAAATCCGCGGGGGATTTAAATATCCCCCGCGGCATTTAAATAAAAATGTCCGCCGCTTTTTTCCGGCTTTTAAAAAAGCCGGAAAAGAGCGTCTACACTGGCCCCGATCCTCCGGAAAAAGCGCCCTTTTCCGGAGGCTCTTATTCCTACTCTTATTCCTACTTTGAAGGCTCTTATTCCTTTGAAGTAGGAATAAGAGCCTCCGGAAAAGGGCGCTTTTTCCGGAGGATCGGGGCCAGTGTAGACGCTCTTTTCCGGCTTTTTTAAAAGCCGGAAAAAAGCGGCGGACATTTTTATTTAAATGCCGCGGGGGATATTTAAATCCCCCGCGGATTTCCCTACTACGATAGGTGAAATTTACATGCCCCTTCCGGAAAAGGGGCCAGTGTAGACGAGCCCTTGGTGTCTGGTGAAAGTGAGTGGAGTCCCCTTCAAGTACAGATTGAACCTCTATGGTCTGGGACTCTGTTCCTGCAACATCTGTTGTGTAACAGGACTGGAGAGCCCTTGGACCAGCAGAGCCCCACCACAGTGGAACCCCAGCAACCCAGGGACTGTGGCAACCCAGGCAGCCTTGGAATCTCAGGGGCAGTGCAGGTGGTCATGGAGCCTCAGGGGCAGTGTGACCCCAGGGGCCACAATGACCCCAGAGAGGCAGAGCCCTGGTGACCCCGGCAGACCCAGAGTGGCAGAGCCCCACCAGCCCTGCTGGTCCCGGGGCAGCAGCAGCCCTGTGGCAGTCCAGAGCTTTGCTGTCAGGAGGGGAGCCCTCCTCAGTCTTCTGATGGTCGCCAGGCTCTCCTGGGGTCCATACTAAAGAAGTGGAATTTATCTCCCCTGGTCCAGCAAACTCCCTCATTCAGCACCAGTCAGATCAAGGGTGCCAGACGAGGGAGGTCTGACCTGTATTGGACAGGGAGGCCTGTATTTGTATGGTTTGTTTAGGGTTGAATTTTGAACCTATTACAATCAGACAAATTGATGGTGTACTTTCCCCTAAAAATGAAAATATCAGACGACAGCAGACAAAATATAATATTTAACATTTTTTCAAGATAACTTCATAATTTTCGAGGAATCTGAATCATGATTTTTTGGATGTGGTATTGGCAAGAATATTAACCCACTACCATCCTTTGCTTTTGGTGTTTATTGAAGATGCACACTTCTGACATTGCAACACCCCCAATGATCTACTATGACAGCATCAAGAAGGGAGATTTTTTCCTACTAGAGATCAGGTTCCTATCTTGGAACACTGAACAACCTGGGCCAATAAAGGTCAGTTACAGAGCTATCAAAAGACTAAATATTCACTGATAAATGTCCTATTGAAAGGATTTGTAATGTACAACACTAAAAGCTGGAAAATAAGTTTGAAAATACAGGAATGACCAACAGTTGATTTTTTTTAAGTAATTTCACCAAGAAAATGTGTCATCACCATCATTATAAAACAGAACAAAAGAAAACCAGTTAAGGGCTAAATTTTGCCTTTAGATATATTCACTTGAATAGGACTGACATTTGTAAGAGACTCTTGCCTGAGAATTCCAAGACAAACATTGAACTGTTATTAAAATAACTGGGCCAGATTCTCAGATGGGATAAATCAGCATAGTTCCTTTGACTTCCATGGACCTATACCGATTTACAGCAGCTGAGGATCTGGCCATGTCTGGCTTGATCTAGCAAGGTACTTAAACACATACGTAACTTTAGAGAGGTGAATAATTCCACTGACTTCAACCCAACTACCATGTTAGCAGGGTTGCCAAGTTTGGTTTTATTCCTGGACGTTTCATCACAGAACAATCTTTAATAAAATATTAATCTTTAATTCCTGGACATTCCAGGACAGTCTTGGAGAGTGCACATTCCTGACTGTTAAGTGTATGCTTACATACCTTGCTGACCAGGATCCTATATTTAGTTATTTCATTTTGCAGGTTGCTTCTATTTTTCTAATAGTCCATTTTTCAGAATATTGGTGTATTAAGACTCCCCAAATGAGCTAGTTGTTTTTTTTATTGGTGTATTAAGACTCCCCAAATGAGCTAGTTGTTGTTGTTTTTTTTAAATCGCTGTAGAGCCACAATAAATACATCTGACTTCCATGGCAATACTGCCAATTGACATCAGAGTAACAGATAGGGGTGTGTGCACACAAGTGTGTGTGGGCGCTTGTTCCACGCACCCCTGAAAATCCACCCCCTGTAGGTTGCAAACTTATTAGCCTTTCTATAACTACAATATTATACATCAGTTTTTTAGAAGGCAGAGTGTCCTGCGGAACTTGGAGCTCAGTCAGTTGAAACTACCAAACCAACTTAGACAGTGATTATGTACAAGGACGTAGATGAATATAAAGTAGTATGCCAAACTGAATCTGAAACCTGTCCAGAGGCAATAGCTCCAGTCTTGCAAAATCTGCTGCAGGATATTTAAATAATCACCAGGGCTGTGTCTACACTGGGCCACTTATTCCGGAAAATCAGCCGCTTTTCCGGAATAAGCTGCGAGCTGTCTACACTGGCCCTTGAATTTCCGGAAAAGCAACGATGCTCTACTGTACAAAATCAGCCGCTATTCCGGAAAAACTATTCTGCTCCTGCTCGGGCATAAGTCCTTATTCCGGAACACTGTTCCGGAAAAGGGCCAATGTAGACAGCCCAGTAGTCTTTTCCGGAAAAAAGCCCCAATCGCGAAAATGGCGATCGGGGCTGTTTTCCGGAAAAGCGCGTCTACATTGGCCACAGACGCTTTTCCGGAAAAAGGGCTTTTCCGGAAAAGCAGCCTGCCAATGTAGACGCTCCTTTTCCGGAAAAACTGAAAACGGAATAGTATTCCATTTTAAGCATTTCCGGAAATTCATGCCAGTGTAGACACAGCCCAGTAGTCTTCAAGTTGCCTAAATCTCATCTAAATGGGGACTCCTCCAGCAACACAATGATGAGGTATTGATTGTGGTAGCAAGTTGTTGGTTTTTTTTGTTTTTTAAAAAAACCTAAGAAGAGTGTCTCCAATACAGCAAGCAACTTTTAGTCTATTTTCTTGGGGGGGGGGGTCTTTTAATGACCAATACAAATGACCATACAAAATTGGTAACTGATACTCTTTTGAAGGTAACAAGCATCTCTATATGGCATTTCTCCCCCCTCAAGACAAACATCGTTCTAGAGAGATTCATACAATACAGAAATTTAAAAAGAATATTTGTATTCAGAGTCAAAAATACAATGTTTTTAATGGTCAGAAAGCAACATATTAACATCCCAAACAGCCTTTTTCTGTGGTAGTAACTGTCCTACAATAAATTAAACTTCAGAGTTCCTATTTCACTACCTACGTTGTACAAACAACTGCCAGTGCATTCAGCAGGGCTCCTGAAGTTCAGCATGATACTCAGAATCATGAGGCAAACTCATCCATGGTACAGCCCCCTGAAGCTTATGGAGTTACATCATGGATGAATATGGCCCCCTTTTTTTAAAAATTTTATATATATATATTTTTTAAGCACGGATACCAGGTGTGTGAGAGTTAAGGTCACCATCTGTTACATGCAAAGCTGAAATGTGTGCAAACAGATTTGCAAAAAGGTTGTTCTACCACTTGATAGCAAAAGCAAATTAACTTACATATGCTGGGAAAACACCATCATTTTAAAACGCCTTTCAACTCTAGCTTCTTGAGACATGGGTCAAATCAGTTTGAGCCAATTTCCTAAAAAACTAATCTTTTTATACAAGTTGCCAGTACTTACTAGACAAGCTTGAGGAAGAAAGCTGTTCACTCTGGAGATACTCCACATCCCCTCAAGATATTGCTGAGCCTGAATAGTCACTGAGCTCAAAGCACCACTGAGGCCGCTGGGAGCCACAGTTACTTGAACACTGGAGTTTGGAAAACCGCTTGTGCCTTGAGGCCATCCAAGTCCCTTCTTTCTCTCTGTCCCCGAGAAAAGACTTGTTGATTTCCCAGACTGCCTACCCACCTGCCCAGCAACAAGAGGCAAGTCCCTTTGGGAGGACACAGTCACCATCCTTGGTAAGACACTGGTCACTGCTGCAGAGCTTTGGGGGAGGCTGGGTACTTCTTGATAGCTGGCTTGATTAAGGGTGTGGATCATTTGAATGGCTTCCTGCTTCAGCTGATTCAGGTGAGTGGCACAAATTTCACATCTGCTCTCTCCTTCATTCCTGTTTTTCTGTAAATGGTCAGGCACTTGAAGCTTGTCAAAAATTAAAGCTGATAATCTTGGGTCCTAAACAGAAAAAAAAATAGAAAAAAAGATAAATAAGTCCAAGACAAATACAGGAAAAGGAAATAGTCTACAACTCACTCTTCATCTTTACTGGTAATTACAGTGTAGGTATCTTTACTAACTCTTAGGCTTCAGCTGAGCACCCTGGCGGACTCACAGCCCATAACTGATTAATCAGTCATAAGCAGATTCATTTGTATAATGCCCAGCATGAAAATTATTATCGGAGTTTAACAGTGGAACTTGTGTTGTGCTTGATAACTACTCATCTACTTACCCTCTTAATTAACTCTCCTTTTGAAATGGGCCCATGTTTTCCATGCTCAGCAACAATGTTGTTTCAAGTGCATACCCTACTCACATCATAATGCATTTCAAAGGCATGCAATCATCTTAAACCCATGAAAATTAGACCGTGCCACACTAAACAGATTAAAGCGTGACCTGGTAAATGTTTTGTGGTCCTTGCCCTCAGTGTTTAATAGTCAAGTAGCATCAGAAGTAGTTTACGTGATACTGACCACAGTTGGTTCCTCTGTTTCATTGACAACTTCATTACTAAAAATTGTGACCTAGACAGCATTTCTTACGTTATAACTGCTTTGATGAAAAATACAGCTGGAGCCTACCACTAACTTGAGAGGCGCTACCTTGGGCATGCCAAAAGGCGGATTTGAAAGCAACACCTATTTTGTTTCCACTGAATAAGATTTTCTCTCAAAAATCATTTCACACCTTAAAACCCATCACTATGCTTCCAGTTCAGAGATACAGTAACCTATCTCCTAAACCATGCAACTGCCTCTCCTCCCCCACAGAGCATGGTAAGGATCAGGGAAGAGATTAAACCCAGCTCTGTTGTAAATCTGCTACCAATACTTAATGCTGTGCAATGAAACTGACCAACTTCAAGCACTCATGTTGAGTTCTGCAGACAATTAAAGTTTTAATGAAAGATCACAAAGCAGACCAAGGTTTATTTGTTTAATTTTAAAAAAAGTGAAAACTATTTAATTTGCTTGTTAATGAGGAAGATAGACAAAGTTAGTAACCTAGCCACATCATATGTGCTTAGCATATACCCAGATTAGCAGTTTCCTTAAATTTGAAAACAACAAGTAGTCCTGTGGCACCATAGAGACAAACAAAAATACTAATATATATATATAAAATCACAAGCTAGTGGGCAGAACTCACTTCTTCAGAGAAGCTTCAGTGGGTCTGAAGAAGTGGGTTTTGCCCATGAAATCTCATGATACTATATATTAGTGGTCACCAACCAGTAGATCGTGGGACGTTTGACAGGTGATCCTGATGGTTTGGCTGGAAGGCTATCAAGTGCTGGCACTTCGTCTGCCCCTCAGTACTGCCACGCTGCTTCTGCCCTCTACTTTGGAGGTGCCCCTCACCCCTGGGAGCCTCCAGCTTGCTGTGCAGGGCACAGGAAGAAGAGGAAAGGGGGGGTGCTGGTGTCAAGGTGTCCCTCCCTCCACCTTATACCCCATCTCCACAGAGCAGAGAGTTTGCTGGCTGCTTTTGGGAGTGGTACAGGGCCAGGGTAGGGGTGAGCCTGCCTTAGCCCCCTGTACCACCACCCAGAAGCCACCTGTGGTAAGTGGTGCCCAGCTGGAGCCTGCATTCCAAACCCGGCCCAGTCCTGAAACCCTCCTGCACCCAAACCTCTGGCCCCAGCCTCATAAAAGTGAACGAGGATGCGGGAGAGAGGGTGAAGTGAGCAGGGGTGGGCCCTTGGAGAAGGGACAGGTCAAGCGTGTTTGGATTCAAGGTAGATCCTATATTGCACTTAAATTCAAAAAGTGATCTCATGCTTAAAAAGGTTGGAGACCACTGCTATATATATTTGTTTTAGTTTCTAAGGTGCCACAGGACTACTCGTTTTTAAAGTTAGAGGAACACGGCTACCCCTCAGATTTTTAAAACATGCTACTTTATGCTAAGCTGAGATTGCTCTCAAGGAAATGAACATTTTATTGAAAGACCAACTTTTCATATTAATTATGATATGCATCAATAAATAATTTTTAAAAGTCCTGGCATTTATATTTTTCTTTGCTTATTATTCTCTTTTAACTGAGCTATTTCCCTGCAGTTTGAATATAAAAAGTCTGAAAACACTATTTAGCAACTCAAGCAGAATCTTGGACTTGATTTTATTATCTTCTGCTGGAGTGCTCTTGCAATCTTTTCTTAAAGATATCTCACCAAGTAAAACACTTAAACAATGAATAGTCTAGCAGCACTTTAAAGACTAACAAAACATGTAGATGGTATCATAAGCTTTCTTGGGCACAACCCACTTCTTGATAGAAGCTGTTAAGAATGTACTGTGCATCACACTGATCATTAGCTAATATAATGCTTTTTCCCCCCCATTATGCTCCTAAATTATTTTCCCTTACATGAATATTAAATAACTGATATTTGTAAACCTTGGAAATTATAAAGTATTGGTGGCATAGCCTTACACTAGTACAGAGCTGGACAAAATATGGCCCCAGGGGCCAGATCCAGACCACAGACCACCCTGCTGGCACGCTCAGGCAGGTAGCTGCACAGTTTGAAGTTCAGTCCACACATCTCTCTGCTCTGCAGGAAGGGGGAAGCTTTGTGTGATCTCCCCACCCACAGCCCAATCCTCAGCTCCTAATGGCCAGAAACAACGGACCAATAGGAACTGACCCCAGCCAATCTCCTATTGGCTGGAAACAACCAGCCAATAAGAGCTGAGAGATTGGCCTGGCGAATGGGTGCTGAACAAGTCTCTTCCCCCTCCTGGAGGTGACAGCCGGTGGAGTATGCAGATTGCAGTTTTAAGTGAGTACCGGCTGCAGCAGACAGGGAGCCCCGCCTGCCTTGGGGGTGCTGCAGGCTTCAGTAAGCACCACCCAGCCAGAGCCTGCCTCTAGCACCCCAGCCCCTCCTAAACCCAACTCCCTCCCCAGGTCACCATCCAAACCTTCTGCACCCCCTTGCCCTGTGTCAAAACTCCCTCCCAGACCCCCGCCTACACTCCTCCCCCAAGCCACAATCCTCTCCTGCACCCAAACTCCCTCCCAGACCGTGCACCCCATTCTCCTGCCCCAAATCACCACCCCCTCCCGTAGTCTGCACCTGCTTTTCCCACGTCACAGCTTCCTCCCAGACTTTGCACCACCTCCGAGTGCCCTCTCCCAGGCCAGAATCCTCTCCTGCACCCATATCTCCTCCCTGACCCTACACCCCTATCCCTTCACCCAGGTAACAACCCCCTCCTTCAACCAAACTTCCTCTCAGACATCACACCACCTCCTGCACCCCAGTCCCTTACCCCGTGCGCCCTTCTGTGCCCAACCTCCATCCTAGACCCTGCACATCCTCCACAGAAAAGTGCGGCCCCTGAAATTTTTAGCAGTTATGCGTTTACAAAAACAAACACATTAACATCTCTACTGTCTGTCTACTAAGAAAACTAAATGGTGCTAAGCTCACTAGTAAGCATTTCCAAAATAGAACATTCCGCCACACAATGGCACATCTGATTAGCTTTACTCACCTGAATAGTCCCACAAAATACACACATACTTTCCAGGGATAGTGCTACTTAGTTCTCTTAAGAGCCAATGTTACATCAGTGGGACTAATCATGCAAATAAAGTTAAGTCCATGCGTAAGTATTTCCAAGCTCTGGCATGCTGACATGTGTGACTAATATGACCATGCTAAAATGCTCTCCAATATTAAAAATAACCAAGTTGCTACATGAAAATATTTTCTGATCAAATATACTTCTGATGTAAAGAAATCACTAAGACTAATTCTGCTCCTCCTTACACCTAATTTCCAGCAGGATAACTATACACCTCAATAGATTTACTCCTGATTTAAACCAGTATAAGAAAAAAAAAAGAATGAAGCCCCATCATGCATGGATGTGAGAAGTGATGGATATAAGTTCAACAAAATGTGCAAAGTTACAAAATCACAGTGATACATAAATGTTTTGAGAAAACAACATATTGGAGAAATAACAGCATACAGCTCACAAATGTATTGTATCGTAGATTTAAATGCCCTAAATTCACTATAAAATCGTTCTCCCCTTTCCAGTGGTTGGATTTTATTGAGCAGTTGCAAGAGGCTGTTTAAACTACTCAAGCAGTTTCTCTAATCACTTCTTGTAGCTGTAGCCATCCTCCTGCTTCTCACTGAGGGACCAGCTGTGCAGTTGGATTACTTTTATTTTTCTACTTGGTGTGACAAAAACACCTGGCTAACGGATGGGTGTGAAAGGTAAAGGAAACACAAGTTACTGTTAAAAACATTAAACTTAACTTAAAAGTTAAAAGCCGGCCCAATGAAAGAGATTTTACTGCCCTGTGAGAATCTTGAGTCCTAGTGAAACTCCACTTCAAATAGCCTCAGCTCTAATAAGCCTTATGGGGAAGTTACATTTACACGGTTTACAGAGGGCAGAAATTAAGGTGACAAAATGTGGTGTGTGCATTGCAAGAAAGAGGGGGAAGGGAAATAAGAATTCCAACAATTACTGCCTCACAGACGGAAGGAAGAGAGCCAGACAAGGAAGGTTACGTGGTATGGTATGGTCAGGACCTCAACATATAAGATTAAGCCGTGCTCCAACATTTTAATGGATAAAAGCAGCTTTCTTTTATACTCTAGACTGACAGAGTATCTTTCAGTCAAAGCACATTAATAAACCACATAGTATTATACTTGTCACACCTATCATGCTACCTCTCCATACCTACTCTGGGCACATCATTAGCAATTATGTGCAGAATGCTTGAATGAGTTGAATACTACGGGAAGGTTCAAACTCAGATTCCACTGATTCTGAAAACCTAACTTCACTTTTAACTTGCTATTATATGTGAAAGAAAGAGCATAGTCAACCTGTAGTAAAAGCACAATCCAGCAAACTTTTACTCACGAGTAATACAGATTGTCTTATGAGAGCCAATTGCACTGAGAGCAAGCCA